AGGGGCTGGGGCGTGGCTCAGTGGTAGAGCCCCTGCCTAGAATCCCCTAGTGAGGGGGCTGGGGTGTGGCTCTGTGGTAGAGCCCCTGTCTAGAATCCCCCAGTGTGGTGCTGGGGGCGTGGCTCAGTGGTAGAGCCCCTGCCTAGAGGGGCTTTCAGCCCAGTGAGGGGCTGTAGGGTGCTTTCCTAGCTTACACAAGCACCTAGATTCAACCTAGGGTACTGGGGAGAAATCCATAACAAGGACATAATTTCTACACTTTAATCCTTTACCCGCTGAAACCTTGCAGAAATTTAACTGGATTTCTGCTGCTCCGCGGCAGCCTCCTGAACAGAGAAAAGAGGACCTGCCATCACCCCCATTTTACTGCTTGATATCTGAAAGCACAGCAAAGCGTTCAGCGGAGATTTCAATAGCAAGAGACAGAGGTGAGATTCAGATCAAGTTGGGCACAGCCACGGGCTTACTGCTGGGAGTCTGAAGTAACCAGAGATTTTCCTGGAGCCCCCAGCAGCGTGCATGAGGGAGAAAAGGAAACAAGCGTCACAGCCTTCATAACAACTTTCAGTCAAGACTTGTCACCGGCAGCTGTGACCTGGGGAGGCACACAGCAAGAGCAGAAGATGGCTGTGTTGCTGAAACCTGGGCGAGGACCTTTTGGACACAGCGCATGCTCAGAGTAGAGAGACAATGCTCATATAAGATTTAGATTAACACAGTAACAAAATCTGTGGATCTTTGTAAGTCGATGAATGCCCTTTGGTTTTGTTTGCCCCAGTAAGAGTATCTAACATTCAGATGTCTGTGAGCTTTGGCAAGAGAAAAGCCATTGGCTAAAGGTGTCTGTGGCCTGCCAGAGAGCCTAATTTACTGTTCTGGGATGACAGAGAAAGCTGCCTGTTCCTACCTCCAGAGGCAGATTCCACGCTATATACACGTGTGACTTGTAGTCGTCCATCCAGACCTCAGCCACTCGGAGTGCATTTCTCTTGGTGTAGAAGCCGATGTTGCTGTTATACGGTTTCTTCTTTCGCTCAATGTGGGCCACCCTTGAACACGGAAGGACCTCCATGCTGCCACCACAGAGCCATACCTGGAGGCACAGAGACTTGATCAGTATGGCAGATCAGGATATCCCAGAGGCTATTGTCCTTCCCACATGCCACAAAGCAGTGGTTGAACCTAGATAGCATGGGTCCTAGTTTCCTTTCTGTTACTGTGATAAAACACTGTGACCAAAAGCAATTTAAGGGAGTAAAGGATACATCTATCTTATACTTCCAGGTCATGATCTATCACTGAGAGAAGTCAGGGCAGAAACTCTTGCAAGAACTTGAAAGCAGAAAACATGGAGGAATACTACTTACTGGTATACTCATAAGGCCATGTTTAAATAACTTTGTTGTACAATCCAACACAACCTGAGTAGGGAATGGTGCCACCTACAGTGGGCTGGACCTTCCTATAATCAAGACAACCTTCTCACTCAGTTATGTCCATAGGCCAATCTCATCTAGGCTATGAACTGTATCAAATTGACAGTCCAAGCTGTATCAAATTGACAGTATAAGCCAACTATGACAGTTTAATTTGACTGTCAGTTTGAATGGATCTAAAATCATCTGGAAGACAAACCTTTTGGGCATGTTTATAAAGGCGTTTCTAGACTGGGTTAACTGAGGAAGGAAGACTTGCCCTGAATGTGGGTAGCATCACTGCATAGGTTGGAGCCTTGGACTGAATACAAAGGAGAAAATGGCCAAGGATAAGCATTCATCTCTCTACTTCCTGACTGTGGATACAATGTGACCAGATGCCTCACGCTCCTGCTGTGCCTTCCCCACCATGATAGAATGTACTCTTGACCCCTGAGTCACTATAAATTCTCCCTTCCCAAAGTTCCTTTTCTCAGGTATTTGGTCATAGTAATGAAAGGTTAGCTAATACATCTATGTCTGGCTTGTCCAATTTCCAATTCTGCTGCTTGTCTTTTCTATTATTAGCTGAGGCCTTTAGGAAAATTTGTCTGTGGTTCTTCTGATATAATCTATCTCATTTTTTTCTTCTTTTTTTTTTCAGGGTGTAGTTTTCTTTGTGTGCTTCTTTGCAGGCCTCTGTGGGTACCTGCACATACATGGCATTCGCTCATACATACACATAAATAAAAACAGATAAAAATATGTATGTTTTCTAAATATGTCTTTTTAAACAAAATTAATAAACTTAAGGGCTGGGTTTGCTTGTTGAGTAAATCATTTGTGTAAGAATGAATGCTTGAGTTCAGTCCTGATAGCCAGGCTGGGTAGCTGATAATCCTAGCTTTGGGGAGGTAGAAACAAAAGAATTCCTGTTGTTCACTGGCCAACCAACCACTGCTTTGGTGCTTGTGGGAATGCCAGTAGCCTTCTTGGTGAGCTCTAGGCCAGTGAGAGACTGTCTCAAAAAGGAGGTGGACAATGGCTGAAGAATGACACCTGAGGTTGTCCTCTGGCCCTCTTCATACACAAGCACACACCTACGCACCCACCCACCCACCCACACAAACTCTTAGGGAAAGGTCAGTGTGTGTGTGTGTGTGTGTGTGTGCGCGCGCACAGTTAATTAACACTGGAAAATTTCAGCTTTGAGGTGCACCTTATCTTTGCAGGTGTTAGGGTTGGAACCTGAGTTCCATGCTAGGTGAACACTGAGCCATATGTGCAGCCTGGGTGACATTCTTGGTATTTGTGAGATACACAAGATGTCACTGTCTTTACAGCAATTTTCTGAGACTTTGAGGACAGTGGAGGATCACCCCAACTTCGTCTCAAGGATCTTCATTCCCTCTGCCCACCCTAAAGGTGGTTTCTTGGGTTGTTGATGTATCAAGTTCCAAAGAACTTGGAAGCCCAACACAGGGGCCTTTCTCCTCCTTCCCTTACGGGTTTGCATTTCTTCAATCTTAGCAGTGGCTTTTCCAAATGTCTTCTGTGTCCCTGATTAAGTCACTCTGGGGGCCATTGAAATTGGTTTCCATGTCACTTGGGCAACAGTGAGCTGGGCCTGGTGACACAGTTTAGTCATCCTAGCTACATGTGGGATGGAGGCCGAGGGACCACAGCAAGTTCATACCTGCTTCGTTATGAACTTAGTGAGTCTGCCCCAAAATAAAAAGTCACGTGAGGGCTGGTATATAGTTCAGTAGTAGAGCACCTGCTTACAGTCTCTCAGTGTGGGAGTGTAAAGCACGTATATGGCATGCAGGAGGTCCTGGGATCTTCCTCCAGTCCTGGGCCAAACCAAACCAAAACAAAAGCCCAACAACAACAAAACAACCCAATAACAACATTTGCAAGTAACAATTGTGGATCTCTCAATGCAGAACTTACACAAAATAATCCCATTGGGTCTTCCTAAGTATAGGCAAATTTTAGTTGTTTTATGTTTGTTTGTTTGTTTGTTTGTGTTTGTTTTTGTAAACTATGACTAAAAAAAACATAACCAGATTATATCTGGCTAAGAAAATATTTTAATTTTTTCCTCCCATTCTTCTTTGGGACTTCTTGGTAACACTTGTCCCCTGAGGGCACACTCATCATGCCCCCCCCACCCCCGGTTATTTTCCCTGGTATTTTGTGCCAGGTGAGGAGATGAGCTGTCTCCCCTCACCCCAGTTTAAATGCATCTTCTCTTCCACCATCAGATGGATGCTTCATGGCTTTCCTCCTAAACTCCTTTTACAAAAATTCAATTTCAGCCCTTGACTTTATTTATTACAGTTTCTCAGAAACGGGATTTACGAATGCAGATCTGGAGACATATCTCAATTTAAGTACCGCAGTGGCGAGAACCCCTAAACACCTAGGTTCTACTGCTGGTTGGGTCGATGGAAGCCATTTTTCTTAGCACAGGCTGAGGAATTAAAATGAACCTTGGCAAGTGACATGTGACTCCGAGGAGGGAAGAAAGGCATAATTGAAAGCGGCCTGATTCATCCAGCAGAGTCAGGGGATTGAAGAGATTTTTCCCCCCAGATTGTTGTTGCTTCTGTATTTAAAAGACAAACCATATCAGAGGAAGGCGAATCATACTGATCTGAACTTATCATCCATTTAAAATCCATTACATCTGAACCACCCCGTGGGATAGCATTCTACTGTCATACATGGTCAAGCTCCTGTGTTAAAGAAAACATCCCATGTAATCCCATGTTAAGTGCACTTTGCTCTGTCTTCCTACCTCCCGCCATCTTTCCTCTTTCCTCAAATCCCTTTATTTTTCTTCCATTTCCTCCTTCCCTCCCACCTAACATCTTGCTCCCACCTCCTTCCTTTGTGCTCTGGTGGAGTCTGGGGACGGTGGCAGCAAGATTCTTAACATGTGATGGGCAGTGGGATGAATAATATGTGAAGGGCTGGGAAGATGGCTTACTGGGTAAAGGCACTTGCAGATAGGGAAGGTCCGTTCCCTCGGGTCCATAGGGGAAGGGAGAAACTTGATTCTACAAGTTGTCCTCTGCCCTCCACATGCACTGTGACACACACACACACACACACACACACAAACACATGAAAAGGAAACAAAATATAATAAAACATTCAGCTCAGCATATGAAGGAAGCAGATGGCACAGACTACAAGTCCTTCCCCACTTGGGCTACATAGGACAGACTGTATTGAGAGAAACCCGTGGGAGAGGCATTTGATAGAAATGAGTCACAAGCCTCCTGGACTAGCATGTGTAAGTGGATACCTTTTTCCCACTTTGCTAGCCCACCTTCATCTTCAAGAGTACAATCACTTCAAAAAAATGTATTGTGTGTGTGTGTGTGTGTGTGTGTGTGTATATATATATGTATATAAATATATATGCCTGTGCATATACCTGCCCCACAGTGCATGTGGAGGGCAGAGGACACCTTGTGGGTGTTGATTTTCTCTTTCTACCATATGAGTTCCAGAGACTGAACTCAAATCCTTGGGCATGGTGCCACGTGTCCTTACAATTAGATGCATCTCACTGGCCTGGGTTCCTTATATAACAAGCTATCTTTATTTCTACTTTTGACCATATGCTCCTACTACAACTTTTTCATTCTGGGACATGGAAATCTAAAAACATCATTGTGTGTCTCTCAGGACTCAGATCCACACTGGGATGCTTTGATGCTTAGTAACCTTAATTTCCATCTTCATGGGATGCAGAATCACGTGGGAGACAAGCCTCCTGACACGCCTATGGTGCATCATCTAAATCAGCAGTTCTCAATCTGTGGGTCGTAACTCCATTAGGGATCACACGACCCTTTTACAGGGGTAGAATATCAGATATCTTGCATATCAGATTATTTACATTGCAATTCATAACCCTAGTGAAATTACAGTTATGAAGTGGCAATGAAAATAATGTACCACAACACGAGAAACTGTATTAAAGTGTCAAAGCATTAGAAAGGTTGAGAACCACTGGTATAGATTAAGGCTAGCCTTTGAGAATGTTTGTAGGGTATTGTCCTGGTTGGCCTTAGTGATGTGTGAAGACCCATGTTGACTGTGGGCGGGATCATTCCCTAGTCAGGGAAGAAAGAAAGAAAGAAAGAAAGAAAGAAAGAAAGAAAGAAAGAAAGTAGGAAGGAAGGAAGGAAGGAAGGAAGGAAGGAAGGAAGGAAAGAAAGAGAGAAAGAGAGATTGACCGTGGCACAGACATTCATTGCTGTCTTCTTCCTGACTGTAGCTACGACATGACTTGTGTCTTTGACTCCCCTACCATGATGGGATGTACCTCAAATTATAAAGCCAAAACACTTCCTTAGATTGCTTTGATCTGGGTATTTTGAAGAAGAAAAAAAAACCTTTAATTTTTTTATGTGTCTCTGTATGTGTGCAGAGGCCAGAAGATGGTATCAGCTCACCTGGAGCCTGAGTTACAGTTGATTGCAAGCCACCTAACATAGGTGCCAAGAACCGAACTCAGGCCCTCTGCAAGAGAAGTATACACTCTCAACCACTAGGCCATCACTCCAGTTCTTGTCCAGGTAATTTTGTGACAGTAGCAAAAGTGTAACTAAGACATACATCCGAAACAGAACTGTCCTTCCTTCCCTACGGCGGCTCC